ATATAAACCCTCATAAACCCTCATATAAACCCTAAACCCTCATAAACCCTAAACCCTCATAAACCCTTTTCTACCTTCTATTGGAGGAGAGGGCCATGGTGACGACCTCAATTCCTTCTTCAGAGCCTTGCAAGAATTTTTGTTGTTTTGTTTGTATATTGTGAATAACAATAAGCCGCCCAGCAGCAAAACAAACAGAAAAAGAATCTATAAAATGTATAGCTCCTTTTATGTTGGTTATACACCCGAATACATGTTTACATTGTAGTGTTGCTGCTGGCAGAGAATACGTTTCTCCTCCTCCTCCTGCTGCTGCTGCTGGTGCTGCTGCTGCTGCTGCTGCTGGTGGTGGTTGTGCTGCTGCTGCTGCTGTTGGTGCTGAGGAGGAGGGGGGGGGAGCTGCTGCTGCTGCTGCTGCTGCTGCAGCAGCAGGGGGCTGCGCTGCAGCAGCATTGTTGCTAGATGAAGACATCTTCTCCTAAACCCTAAACCCTAAACCCTCATAAACCCTTGTAAACCCTCGTAAACCCTTATACAGAGATATTATAAACCCTTATACACCCTAAACTCTTAAAACTTTTGGATTGTTGTTGGGGTTGAGAGAGAGAGAGAGAGAAAGGGAGAGTGAAGTTTCTATCGTTGGTGGTTTAGGGTTTAGGGTTTAGGGTTTAGGGTTTAGAACTGAGGGTTTAGGGTTTTTAAGGGTTTATATATTTCAGGGTTTAGGGTTACCAAACACCAATCCTAAACCCTAAACCCTAAACCCTAATTTTATTTGAGGGCTAGATCGCTTAGGGTCTCGATACCTAAACCCTAAACCCTAAACCCTAAACCCTAAACCCTAAACCCTATAAACCCTCATCAGTATATAAATTTAAGAAGATTTCATAAAATTTAAAAAAAATATATATTTTTTTTTTCTTTTTTTTTTGTTTGTTTCTCTTTTCTGTAGCCGCGGTGGCTGCAGCCACGCAGCCACAGAGCGATGAAAAGAGAAGGGTTTTTTTAGGATAAAAACAAGAAAAAATAAATTAATTTAAAAATTAAAATTAAAATATTAATTAAATAAATAAAAA